AGAGCTATTAAAACCACCCTGGAAGCCGCAGAGAGGTCTTCCCGTTGACTCTGGGTGAAGAGGGGGTGTGAGTGGTGCAGTGTGCTACCTGATGACTCCAATCATCACTGACGATGTGTCCAGGTTGAATGTCAAGGTGTGTTACAGAACCATAAATTAAGTTTTGAGTTATTATATTGTAAGGGAATTTAATGTGCCTGTTTGTCAACATGAATCCACTCTGGGCAGATTGTACAACAATAGTGTGTTGCTTCAAACGTTACGGCCTCAATGAATTGTGGGACATGGCTGCCTCTGAAATTCCAGGTAATTTCACTCAGTTAAGCAAAAGGACTATTTGACAGTAGTGGCCATCCGTTGTCTTTGACATTGTTTATGATATGGAGATGATGGATGGATGATGGATTAGTCTTGGAAGGGTAATAGTTACATGATGTGAATGACATGAAATATATAATAAAACAGTTTGAAAGCCAGTGAAAGGGATTTTTTGTTGTGATTCTGAGAATGATGACATAATATGATTTTTTTTTTTTTTTTAATATTTATAATAATAAATTCTTGATTTACCAAGGAGAAGTCAGAGTAAAAAAAAAAATGCAGGGAGAACTCGTGCTCACCAGAATTTCGCAGAGCGCAGATGTAACCAAGAGGCAATTTCCTCCAGTCTGTGTGGTTCTTTCTTCAGAGTACACAATTTCTTCCACAACCTAGTGGACATTGAGGCTAAAAACACAGTGTAAATGATGCTGTTTCGAGTGTAATTTGAATGTTTGGGCTTATGGACACTTGGGTGACACCACAGATTGTTCTGTTGTTTTTTTCTGTTTGAAGAAGTGGTCTCCAGTTACTTAAGTTTTGTTGACACTTCCCCCACCTCTCCAACAGCATAGTGGTGAGTAGATAGTGAATGCATTTAATTTATTTGGGTGAACTATCCCTTTAACACATACAGTACAGGTGTGAATGCATTCAGATCAGCTATGGATCCGATCTCACCAGACCACATTCGGAGGTGGTCAGGGCCACATGTGTCCACATGTGTCCACATGTGTCCACATTCTTTTAGCACTGTGAACGCAAATCAGTCCAGGGCCACATATGAAGGACTCAGCTGATTACCTTTGACCTGCTGCCGTTTCACTATGAAGAGAACATATTCTTTCTCTTCTCGTTGATTTGTTTGTAACCATCCCAATATCAACACTGATCACCAATTCATGATCAATACTTTACTTGTATTGGTAAAATCTCCCTTCGCAGCAGCATGCGATTCATCCAGACCCCCCCGACAGTGACATTGAACATGCTTGTGTACTCAGACTGCAAAAACAATATAACTTGGACATTGTGAACAGGAATGACGTACATGTTTATTTGTATAGAGCAGGGAGTTGAAATCTGATCTGAGATCTGATCATGAGCCGCATGTAGGGCCACATTTGTGGACAAGTATGAACAAGTGTTTATCTTAAAAACATGTGTCAGATCGACCCAATAAAAGTTATTGATGCTGAATTTGTTTGGATTCCTTCTGTAAGACAATTAATATTGAAACAACCGCATGTTGTAAGTCCATTTAAATTCAGATGGTAATCAGGCATAGCTGACAGCTAGTTATTTTATTTCTACTCTGCGGCATCTGTTTGTTACAGCACATTCTTATGAACATAACTCAACAACATGATACAAGCTGCACCACAGGGCCGTCCTATGTAGAGGATTTAATTACATTTAAGAGCCCTAGCTGCATCTATCTACATAGTAATGAGGAAGAACAGATTCCGGTGAAACCAGTTAGCTGTTTCCTATTCTCTTACTGTGTTATGATTCATAGGAATGTTTTATTATTAAGCTCAAGTGAACTGCTATATCCTTACAAATACATGTTTACTACCTAATAGGAATAAATAGCTTAAATTAAAGCATTCAATAAATTTGTTTGCGGTATATTACTGTTGTTAAGGGACCACCTCAAGAGGCTGTCTACAATTCAGCAGGTGTTAATTTTCTGCAATTTCTTTATTTGCTTTTGCTCTTGAAGAACAATCATGACAGCTAATTGGAGCTGGAATAAAAAAAAAAGAAAAACAAAACAGATGAAATAAAAATGTCTCCTCTCGGATGCACCATGCGACCAAGCACGATAATGGCTCCTAATGTTTGGTGGTAATGTCTTGATGAAGAATTCAGATGCTTTTGTTGTTATTGTGTGTAGTAGTGGTAATGAGTGAATTTATGTTGTTTATTATCCAGGAAAATCATCCATTCAACAGCTATCCATCCATCAGCCTGTTGTGAACTCAGTAAATGGTTTAATGGCTCTTAGATCTATTTGTTTAAGGGTGCACACCAGCTAGGAGATCTCTGACCTGAACTAGATTCAGTAAATTTGGAAAATGTACAAAAACCCTGTTAATGGCACTTGAGTGAGAGTAAGGAGAATATCCAGTCTTGATAGAAGGTTTACCATGAGCATGGCCTGAGATTGCAGGGGAACTGATCATCATGGGAAAAGAGCCAGTGAGCTGGCTGTGCTGGCTTCACTCTGTCAGAAATGTAAAAATAAAGTCATGAGGAAACGTCATCATCAGTTAAGCAAAGTCAAATACACAGGTGTAATGCTCGATATACACTTTCACATCACATTCCATTTTAAAATCATGAAGTAGCTGTCCCAATAAAGACTTTCATATGTTCACACTGATCTTTTCACATACAAGAGTAATATAATAATAATAACTGTATTTGTATAGCACTTATCTAAACAATGTTACAAAGTGCTTCGCAAGAAAAATAATACAATCCATGGCTAGAAGAAGAATAAATAATACTAAAAATATATTTAATTCAGTTAAATTCTTTGGGCCATGGAGCAGTTTCACCATCACATCTGAGCTCTGTAAGACTGGTTGTTGTAATGAAAATAATAACTTCAATTGTACCTTGGTGTCATCAAGTGTTTCAGCTTATTAACCACAATAACATTGAGAGAGGCTGAAGGTAAATCTGACTGGCTACTGGCTTGTATGGCAGTGCTATGAAAGCCATTACCTCTGTGCCTTTTTTATTCTATTTATTTATTTTTAAAACTAGATTTAACTAAATACCGACTCTCATAGGTGGCAGAGTCAGAAGCTGTCATATTAAACCCAGCAGTTCCCATAATGAGCAGCCCTTCGGCGACTCTGGAGAGGAAAAACTCCCTCTTTAGTAGAGTAGAGTAAATCATGTAACCTCATTGTCATAGGATTGGCTGCTCCTCCCTCCGCTGTGCGTGTGTGTGGCGTGTGTATGAATTCTTCTGATTGGAGTGGCATGAGAGAATGTGTGTGTGTGTGTGTGTGCTGGTCAGGGCATGGGCATGTCTAAACGCTCCAGGTCCCCGGCACACCTCCTGCTTATCTCCTCTAATCATCTCCTGCAGTATAAGATTCCTGGTCTTGTCAGATGATACAGTCTGAGTACTTTGGCTCAATCCTTGTGATTATCACTGTGCTTCGGCTGCATACTTACACTCTGCCTGCCTCAGATACGCATCATTCTGCCCCTTAGTTTCCCTGCCTGCTAGTGTGGCCTGCCTGAATCCTGCCTGCCTGTCTCCTGCCTGATGGGTCGGTAGAAGGCCTCCAGGCCTCAAAGCACCGCCGTGCTCGTTCACACCATGGCAAAGCACAGCAAGAACGTTAGAGACTTCCTGATTCCATCCACTGTAAACCTGTATTTGAGTCATTTAGTTAAACTTTCATTTACTGAGAGTAGTTTTCTGAATGGTGCATTGGCTGCTGTTCAGTTCCTGCTCTGCCCTCCACTCTCATAGTCTCAAGCTTTGAAGGTGACTTGAAAACAAGGGATTATCAAGCCTCTGACCTGAGATCAGAACTTTTAAAATTCCCATTCAATTCATCTACTCTATCTTTTGTGTTTTTTTTTTTTTATCAAACTTATATTTACTTGTTTCATGCTCTAACCAAGGCAGTCAGCTGAAACATTATTTCTATCCACTAAATCACACTGGGCCTGTTGTAATAAAGAAACATGCTTGTTCTTTCAGCTGTAAAAGAAACAGTTATAAAACAATTATGAATTTCAATTAAATATTCGGAACATGAATTTAACTTGATCACTGCATTTTCAGGAACATTGTAATCAGTTTTGAAAAGTTTAATTCATCACTAGCAAGCTCAATATTTTGTCCTTTCCTTACCTGAGACATGGGGGGGGTTAAACACTAATTTAACAAGACCAATATTAAATCTCACTTTCAGCACCATGGATAGCGTCACTCGGCCAGGCCTGCTAAAACAATTATAAACTTAATTATTCGATATAAAATAATATCAGAATGCTAATGCACACGGTAATGTCAAAAGAAATATAAATAGGCTACAGTATATGTGTGTATTTTTCAGATAAAAGTCTTAATTCTTGATTGAACCTATCAGAATTAGAGGACAGTGAGTTGAGGGCAGGGACAGCAGGCCCCCATGGAACCTGTAAAAGCATGATCCATCATCCCTACGCCTCCACATGATCCAGGAGTTTGGACTGGGACCAGGTCCAAGGTGTTTAAGTCCGCTCCAAATCCAGCCAGAGCATTAAGTCTGAATGATGGAATGGCATTTTTTTTAAATCCACATTAATTTGTTATTTATGCAGTTTTCTGGTACAAAACTCCATATTTAGCCTTGGGATTGTTGTTTTTTTACTTTGCAGTTTTTTAAAATCAGTTTAATAATAAAGTCACTCTAAGCCCGCTTTAAGGTATCTAACTTGTTCCTTTGTTTTGAATTAGGCAGGGGCATATATACTATAAGTATTGAACCTTGAAGCACATTATACTCTTTGTTGTGGCGAGATTAACTGATTAACTATTTACTGGACGTTATATACTGTAAGTTTGTGTTTTGATCAGAGTAGGATATATTCCTGTTTTCTGATCTCCACCTCTTTCTTCTTTATTTTTTTCTTGATGCTGTTTATAACTCATCCTTCACCAGAAGTATTCCAGAGGTATCAAGCTGGTTTCAGGAGGTCTGATGAATACCAAACATCTTTTCGGCACCCCACCTTCGTGTGACCTCCGGGCTGCCATCGATCATCAAATGGTCCCTACAGAGCAGCCGACCACAGGTCGACACTGGTGCGCCGGAATAATAAATCAGTGACAGACTCAGTCAGATGGAGCGACCTGGAGAAATGGGCCATAATGGGGATGGAGGTTGTGCTGAGGATCTGTGGTTGACGTGAAAGAGTTAAATCTCTGCAGCACAAGGGACGTGGAGTCTCTGTAGAGTTCTATTAAAGCTCTTATGTAGATAGGGATCTCTCTCAGACAGTCCGTAAAACTCACTTGATTTTGTCCTTATTGTTCTCAAAAGAGTTCCATTAAATTTTTTATAGATGTAATTACAGATGTATAATGTCGAAAGTGTATCTCTCCAATGTCATTTGTAAAAAATGAATTACAGTTAATAAGGATTCATTAACAGATTTGATGAATACAATCTCTGTGATTTAAGCAATCAAATGATGAACTGTGTTCTGTAGCATATTGTTAGTAACCTATGGAAGTTTGCCAATCAGGAGCTCAGTTTTACATATTAAAGGTCCAGTGTGTAAGATTTAGGTGAAAGGGATCTATTGGCAGAAATTTAATGTAGAATAATCCTCAGGAAGTTTTCACTAGTTCATTTCATCTAAATTGTATGAATTGTAGTTTTCTTTACCCCAGAAAAGGCCCTTTATATTCAAATACTTTATATTTACATCGAGGGGACCCTCTCTACGGAGGCCGCCATGTTTTTTACATTAGTCCAGACTGAACAAACTAAACACCTTTTGAGTTTTTATGACAATTGAAGCTACCACAGGTTCTTTTTCATGTTTGGAAGGAGAGGGTGAGGTGAGGGGTGTTCAGCTGCAACATGACACTTCAACACCGTACCTTTAACTCAAATAAATATAAAATGTAATTTATCAATTAAACTGAACAGTCTTCACGTGGCTGTAATTATGGGTTCTTTTATAGAATACCATCTTTTCATTGATTTGCCAATTTTGGAGATTTGTTAGTATGGCAAGTTTCATCTAATGTATAATACTGTAAATCGGCTTCACTCAATCATACATCTGCAGTTGTGATGCTACAATGACCCAACACTGTTTCACCATTTTGCACACGCGTCCAGACTTTATTGAAGATTCTATTTTATGCTCTTTGTCTCCTCTGCATTCATACTGACACCTCCTTATATTTGCATAACCATATTGTACACCTACATTTCCATTTCTGATCTGTATTTACATATATATCATGTATACAGATAGCAATGGAAACAAAATGTCTCTGTGGGCTTTTACATATTGAAGCAATTTCTGGCACAGCCAAAGCTTTATAGAAAGACAAAGACAAATGAAAACTTCATGGAAGAAACCTGGTTTAGAAAATGGCATTTACAAAAATATTAACATATTAACAAAACAAAAGGTGGAAGAAGCACTCCACTCTTTGGTAAAAGGAAGGTGAGTGGATATTATTTATCTATAGATATAATTTATATGATTTTAAGTTTTTCTTTTTTTTCTTGAAAAGAAGCAAGTCAAACAGGGAAAGCAGTTGATTTTATTGACAGCAGAGTTTAGAGAGCTGATATCTTTATCCCTAAACCTAATCAGTTTTTCCCAACTTTGGTAAATGCATCTTCAAATACTAATTTTCTTCCAGGACATGTAGTTTTGAAACAGTCACTGAACTCTAATGTAATAAAATGAAATCAAAGTCTCACAACATCTCAGAAGCGGATCTTTTAACAACTTTCTTTTTTCTTTTGCCAAAATTATTGAAATTAAGATATTTGGAACACAAACTCAGAGGAAATGAAGGAGCTATTTACTGCAAAGCATAAATACTATTAGAAACTATGTGTAACGCACCAAACTGAGACAAAGGAGATTAATTTAGAGGAGAAATGACGGATGATATATTACTGGATGTTGACAGAAGTATGTGGATGAAAAGTTGACCTTTTGACCAGTTTAATAATTGCATTTTTTTCAGTGCAGCAGTCACATCATCCAGTGCATATCATATATTGATATTTACTAATCAAGGAGCACGTATTGATCAAGCTATTTATGTTTCTATGTTTAAGACCCCCCCCCCATACTGTTGGGCCTACACATTGTCTGTTCATATATTCCACTGTATATTCAGTCTACTCCCTGCATTAGCCTGTGACCTTTGCTGCAGCAACAACTCCATCTTCCCTCCAGATCAATAATATTTCACCTAGTCTCAATTTCACCTTTAACAATAAGCTTGAAATTGGCCTGAACTTTCACTTTCAAATACACAGCAGCAGCATCGCAGTGTCACAGTCACAATAAAAATGTCGCCACCATCATTCGTCCCCTCACAAGGCTGTCGACTGAAATCATTTACAAAGTCTTTTTTTTTATTTTTTTTTTTTACCCAGGGCTGCTGTCGCCTCCTGCCTCGCCTCCGCACTTGACAACCCTGACACTTTTTCCTTCAGCATTTGGATCCAAACATGCCACAGCCCCTTGAACAGAAGACGCTGAGGGCTTTGGGTTGTGATCACCCTTGAACTACTGAGGTGGCGGCTCTCGTATTCTCTTTGAAAACTAAATCCTGTCTCCGGCCCTTGACATCAAAAAAAGGCAAGAGATCAAGAGGAGGAGGGGGAGGAGATGGCGGCGGTTGGATTGCTAATTAAAGGCATGGATTATTTATTTTCTTCTCGGTGGCATTTTGTTTGCTTGCCAAACAGCTGCTGTGGGCTGAGCGCTGCCTTAGCTTGGCCGACTGCCTTACACTGGCTGTATTGTAGACACATATGGTCATGCACACAAATTCTCCAACTCGCAGATGCACTCGCTGCTATGCTCACACGCAAGTATTTCCCCAAGAATTTTCTTCCTGTCGGGCTGGAGAAGCCTCTGTAGGAGTGTTATGATGAAACTCACACTGAATGTTAAGTTACTTAAAGTACGGGCAGATATTTGCACAGGCAGCTGCCGAATTTGAATTTGGTAAAACAAAATTTGCATTCCATATTCTAAATTCAGAGTGTCTTCAAAGTGAATGGAGGTGTCGCTCGAACTAAAAACTTCTTGTTCTCTATGTATTTGCTTTTCACGGATTTGTCCTAAGCGTTGGCTGAGCCAAGCCGCCAGAGTGTGCCAGTGCCTCGAGTGAATGATGTAAGAATGACTTATTGTCATGGTAAGGCTGACAAATTATGATTGACATGTTCAGCTGAAAGTTGCATGTAGGTCACTTGCCTTTGGGATCAGATTCGGCCCTGTGTGTTTTACATACCCATGCAGGGGAGATGTCGTTTGTTTTGCTGCTTACGCTGATTAAAATCTATTCGATGTTTGTCACATGTGAGGGCACAGAGAGCTGGGACGCTCAGCTTCAGTGTGGCTGCAGTTTTAAAGAATAGGTTATTCCTGCAGGTGGGTTACCAGCCAGTTGGGACGAGGAAGGTCAGGACAGTTATGAAATCTAAAACTAATAAATAAAACTAGTAAATAAGTACAAATACTTTGTTGCTGTACTTTTTCAGTTATCTGAAGTGTACTCGGGTAGATTATTTTCTGTCCACTTTTTACTTTAACTCTCTCTATTTAAATTTAAATACAAATACCTGTAGTTTCAACTCCTTACATTTTCTTCTTGTAATTTTGCATCATCGACGACCACAAATTTTATTTAAAGTGGAAATGCTTTAATGAAACTTGCTTGAATCATTTTCAACACCAGTATCTGTACTTCGACTTTAGTGAAGAAAGTGTGGTTCTCAGCGAAACACTTCCTATTCCCATTTCAAGGTAAAAGCACTTCTGTTGCCTGAATCACTTGTTTTAACAAGGTTTGGATTGTTATCGCAGGACCAGTAGATGGAAGGCTTCATACCGTCGGGTCCGGGCATTCAGTTGAAGTAGTAACTGGACTTTTATTCAAGGAAATATGGTAGTTATACAAGAAACGTCTCAAAGCAGCTGTGCTGCAGAACCATAGCAGTCATGCTGCCTGCGTGAATAGCAGTGCAGCCAGGGCGTTGGCAAAACAAGTCGGGTCCCTCTGCTGGGACATCAGGCCTTTGTTTTCTTTTCAACTCTGGGACAGTCTCTTGAAGAAGCCAAAGCAGTGCTCGTAAAGTTTCCTATCATCTCATTTCTTTCTTTGGCGATATCCTGATATGTTAACTTTGTTTCAGTATTAATTTTTTCAGTTGTCTATGTGCATGTTTGCTAAGATGTGCCCCATTGGCAGATGTGGCAGTAACTCAGGCTCTGAGCTTGCAGGTTCTGCCTTATATAAACACTACACACACAAACGCACAGTCAAATAAGCCACACAAAGGAGTAAAAGTCATTTAGTGATCGATCTTTCACCAGCTAATAATCCATTCAGTCTTTAAGATTTCATCAGTGAGAGAGAATTAAGTTCATAAAGAGGGAATTCCTTTCGCTGTAGGTAAGGTAACTTTATCTGTGAGGTCAGGCGCTTACATTAACTCTCAGGATTATCTTATCTTAATGATTATTATTTTTCAAGCATTAAACTTTGTTTATATTTCAATGTATTATGTTTTTATGTTGCAGCAATTTCAAAATCTTATCTACAGTGGAAAAAAAAAAGAAAGTTTGATTTGATCCCAGTTTCCCACCCTGACAGTGATTCAACACAACAGCTAGTTAGAATAATAATATGTGAATGTAAAGATATTATTATGAAGTCAGCAGCAACAACACCATTACCAGCTAATAATATAAGCAATATTAACAGTAATGCTGATATTAAATACTGAGGTAATAAAAATAATACTAAAGGTTGAGTTTCAAAAGCAGTGGCAATAGATCACATATCTCTGTGCACAACATAGACACGTCACAAACACACTGTGTGAATGTAGTATATAAGGAACACGTGTTGATATATGTACATACAATACATAGGGCATAGGACAATAATTTTATAACAGATGCACTGGACAGCCTTATTTAGTGAGTACTCTGACAGACACACACACACACACACACACACACACACACACANACACACACACACACACACACACACACACACACGGTGGCAGACCTGGCAAGAGTTTTGGCAGCACCAGCTTGGAACAGAGGTAGGAACAGCAGGACCTCTCGCACACAGAGGGATGGATGAATTAGATTAGTGAGGTGAGCATGTACTGTACCCTGGGTGGTGGGGGCACTTTTAATAAGCAGCCACTGACTGGCTGTCCCAAAGCCATGCTCTGATCACTAATGATTGGACACTTCTCGTCTTCTCATGCTCTCTCTCTTGTTTCACATCTTTGTTCTTTATCATGAGTGCAATTAAACTGTGATTTGTCCAGAGATATGGCGCCAGATTACAGTGATCAATCTCTTTAGCGGCGCTGAAGGCAGCAGGATCTCAGCGACACTAAGGGTTCCCGGCAGCTCTGATTAGTTCTCATTGATTGAAGCTGTGCCTTTTGAAAG